CCAACAAGGTCAACCAGCTGTTCTTGGCTCAGCTGTTCCATGACCGGAAACAGCGCGAGGAACGCATCACCACCCCCAAGGAGCAGCGTGGCAAGGTGGCAAATGTGGACTACCTGCGCCCCATCATTGCGGATGCTGATACCGGACATGGTGGCTTGACGGCCGTGATGAAGCTGACCAAGCTGTTTGTGGAGCGTGGTGCTGCTGGTATTCACATTGAAGACCAGGCTCCGGGTACCAAGAAGTGCGGCCACATGGCCGGAAAGGTGCTTGTGCCTATCAGCGAACACATCAACCGTCTGGTGGCTATCCGTGCGCAGGCGGATATCATGGGTGAGTAGCATCCTGATTTGCTCAATCCGCATAGCATCAACTGACTTTATCCAGGCACCGACCTGCTTGCCATTGCTCGAACCGACTCCGAAGCTGCCACTCTCATTACCTCCACAATCGATTACCGTGACCACGCCTTCGTCGTGGGATCGACGAACCCTAACCTCCAACCCCTCAACGACCTCATGGTGGCTGCGGAGCAGGCTGGTAAGAACGGAAACGAGCTGCAGGCCATTGAAGACCAGTGGACTGCCCAGGCTGGCCTGAAGCTGTTCAGCGAAGCTGTCATCGACACCATCAACAAGGGCTCCTCTGGTAACAAGAAGGCCCTCATTGATGAGTTCCTGACGAAGGCCAAGGGCAAGAGCAACCGCGAAGCCCGGGCTATCGCCAAGGACATCACTGGAGTCGACATCTACTGGGACTGGGACGCCCCTCGCACCCGGGAGGGCTTCTACCGGTACCAGGGAGGTACCCAGTGTGCGGTGAACCGCGCCATTGCATATGGACCTTTCGCGGATCTCATCTGGATGGAGAGCAAGCTGCCCGACTATGCTCAGGCGAAGGAGTTTGCCGACGGCGTGCACGCCGTGTGGCCCGAGCAGAAGTAAGTGTGGTCCTGATTTGCACTGTGTAGACTTTGACACTAATTTGCCACTTTAGGCTGGCGTACAACCTGTCGCCCTCGTTCAACTGGAAGAAGGCGATGCCGCGCGATGAGCAGGAGACGTACATCAAGCGTCTGGGAGCCCTGGGATACTGCTGGCAGTTCATCACCCTGGCGGGTCTGCACACGACGGCGCTCATCACGGATCAGTTCGCCAAGGCGTACGCGAAGCAGGGAATGCGGGCGTACGGCGAGTTGGTGCAAGAACCGGAGATGGAGCAGGGAGTGGATGTGGTGACTCACCAGAAATGGAGTGGTGCCAACTACGTGGATAATATGTTGAAGATGGTGACGGGCGGCATCAGCAGTACGGCGGCTATGGGCAAGGGTGTCACGGAGGATCAGTTTAAGCACTGATAATGGAGGGGTGAGTTGGTGGCTGACTGCAGATCTGCATATTTGCTTTTTCTTTTCTATACTGTTCATTGTCTCCATTGTTCCCGTGAGCTAGCTTTTGATTTATCATCGTATATACCACAATGTGATAGTTCGTTGACATTAAGTTGATGAGGGTGATGAGCAAGGGGGAAATAAGCTCCTAAGCTATCCGCAAACAGAACCCCTTGCGAGGCAAGTGGGTCGCGTGCATGACTCAACCCGTAGCTGTCATTTGTTAATTAAGGATAAGTTAGTAACATGTGAGCAGTGGCCAACAACGGTTCTCCGTTCGTAAAAAGCAGACCTTGCAAGTGGAAAAGTCCTCGGTTGTGCCGCGGAACAGATGAGGGGGAAAAGGAGGGCATGTGCCCGGAAATGGATGAATGGATGGAGAATGCATGGGGGTTTTTCTGCCCTTAAAAAAATGAACGGCTCGGCGAATTTGCTGATCACCAATCCACCCGGTCCTCGGTCGGCGGAATGCTGGGCTGCTGCTCATTATATTATCTGGCCTGACGAACATCCTCACCTCCAGTTGTTCCTTCGTATTCCATTACTCATTACTCATAGGAGTAGATAAGGGCACTCGTGTTTCTGAAGAATCAGGGGCTTGTCAGAAACAAGAGCTCCGCATTCGGATTCCTTCTTAATCTACTAGTCTTCTCGGCTGAACTTCCGCCTTTTTTTTGATCCTTCGTTCCTCTCCTCCTGTTCCCATTATTCCCTCCCTCCTGTCATCTTCACCCCTTCCCCTCTCTCTCTCCACCACCTTAATTTATTCGCCATGGGTGCCATTGAAATCCCTCCCTTGGAGTATACTCCTGTTGACGAGGTCGCTGAACGCGTCTCTCGCTGCCGCAAGACCTTCCACGAGCATACCACTCGCGATGTGGAGTACCGGCTGGTCCAGCTCCGGAAGCTTTACTGGGCGTGAGTTGCTGTCCCAAAGTACCTTATTTTGCCTACCTTTCGGGTAGCTCCCCGCATGGCTTTAATATGTAGCTAATTAATCTACTGCACGCAATAGCATCAAGGATCGTGTCGACGAGATCCATGAGGCTTTGCGTCTCGATCTGAACCGGCCTCTCTTTGAGGCCGTCATGGCTGAGAGTACCTGGCTGCTCAATGACATTGTCTTCGTTTGCCGCAATCTCCCCAAATGGGTCAAGGATGAGAAGGCCGAAGATATCGACCTCACCTATAAGTTTACCAGTCCCAAGATCCGCAAGGATCCTTTGGGTTGCGTCTTGGTTATTGGGTATGTTTTCCTTTTTGTTTTTGATTTCTGTGGGATTTTCACCAAAAATTTCTCCCCTCCCCCCCCTATTTTGTTTTGGTTGGGGTTTGAGACAAGGCTAACGGCGACCGTTATGGGGTCAGTGCTTTCAATTACCCTTTCCAGTTGACGCTGGGTCCAGTTATTGGCGCTATCGCAGCGGGTAACACCGTTGTCATCAAGCCTAGTGAAAAGTCCTCCAACTGTGCGGTGGTCATCCAGCAGATTATCGAGGCTGCTCTTGACCCCTCCGCCTACACCATCGTTCAGGGTGCTATCCCCGAGACTCAGGCCTTGTTGGCCGAACGCTGGGACAAGATCTTCTTCACCGGCAGTGCTAATGTCGGTCGCATCATCGCTAAGGCAGCGGCTCCTAACCTCACCCCCATTGTTCTGGAGCTGGGTGGCATTAACCCCGCCATCATCTCCAAGAATGCCGACCCCCGACTGGTCGCGCGCAGACTATTCTGGCCCAAGCTGATGAATGCTGGTCAACTCTGCACGTCGCAGAACTACCTGCTGGTCGAGAGGCCGCTTGTCGATGCTGTCGTGGAGGAGTTCAAGAAGGTCTACAAGGAGTTCTACCCCCAGGGTGCCAAGGGCTCTGCGGACTTCTCCCATATCATTGACGATGCTTCTTTCCACCGTATCAAGGGCATGATCGACAACACCAAGGGCAAGATTGTCATGGGTGGCAGCATGGACGAAAAGGAGCGCTTCATTGAACCTACCGTTGTTGTGGTCGACTCGCCTGAAGACTCCATGATCACACAAGAGAGCTTTGGTCCTCTCATTCCTATCCTGCCTGTTGACAGCGTCGAGCAGGCTGTCCAGATCGCCAACGGCGTCCAGTCCACGCCTCTGGGCCTCTACCCGTTCGGTTCCAAGGCGGAAGTTGAGAAGAGTATGTTTCTGGAGCTGTATAATTTACCGTACAACTTAAGATACTAACGTGCTGCAGTCCTGTCACAGACCCGCTCCGGCGGTGTTGCCGTCAACGACGCCGCCCTGCACATCCCCACCCTCCCCTTCGGTGGTGTTGGCGAGAGCGGTCAGGGTGCTTACCGGGGTAAGGCCAGTTTCGATGTCTTTGTGCACCGTCGCACAATCACCACTAGCCCTAGCTGGATCGAAAGATTCCTCGCCATCCGCTACCCGCCCTACAACGGCAAGGAGGAGCTTTTCAAGAAGGCTGCTACTTTGATTCCCGACTTTGACCGCGACTGCAAGAAGGTCCAGCTGAGCTGGCTCAGATACTTTTTGACTCTTGGTGGTGGCAGTGCCAAGTCTGGTGCTACTCGTGCCACTGTTGTTGCTGCTGGTGAGTGATTCTTTTACTATCGTCAACTGTCGTTTTTCTGCTACAACCCCTCTATCCACTGCGTATCGTTGTTTGATATGCCAGACTTCTTACCTCCGCATCCCCTTCAGACCGAGAGTGAATTATCCCGCACGTCGCTTCCACGTTAATTGGATACCCCGATACCCTGGATACGTAATTTACATATACACTAAACATAATATCTATTGATAATATTGCTAAATGTTCTACGCATAATGTTTTGCTTAACGTTCACACGATGTACGAGCATTTACTTACATATCTATGATTAGTGGCTTATATCGCACATCAAGTGCTCGAGCGCCGATTGGCGAAGCTCTAATTGCGCCAGCATATCTTTACCTGATTCGGTCTTCTATTTGGAGTTAGTCTTGCTTTGGGACGACTATATGACCGTGTGCCATTCGTTAATCATTTCCTTTTTGTTCTTTTTGGTCTGTTCTTTGATTCTCGTTTGGGATGGGGGTTGATTCACCATGTATGTAAGATGATCTACATAGCTGAAAGTATGCGGACATGACGAGGTAGGTGGGTGGGTAGGCATGTACATACGGAGTAGTAGTGAAGCTATCTAACTCAAGTGAGTGGTTTATGTTGATCTTCATCAATTAGGTAATAATTCGGAGTAGCTAGCTCGCTTAGGAAGTCGAGTGTAGATCATACAGATGGAGGAGAGTAGCCTTCATTGTTGGACACGTTATCCTTAGCCTGCAGGTGACATATTGATAGAACTATCACCAGGCAAGGGTCCTTTATATCATCATGAATAAATAGATGACAAACCCTCATGAGCTTCCAAGTATATTTGAAGTCTCCGGGACTAAACTCTGTTTTAGACCCTTGAATATATATTCAGCCAGCTATATCAGTTAGTATTCGATAATTTACATAAACAAACTAAGTAACAAACTATCTTTACTCTAAAGGATCAATGAAGAGATATACATAGCAGAGACATCAACATTCCAAACCCGTCAATAGTAAAAAGCATAAAGAACCTGGTATCAACAGCCATGATTGTCCATAATAGCTCTAAACGAAGGGTCCTGCAGAAGCTGAGTTGCGGTCAGACGTTTCGCCGGGTCATAAGTAAACACACGAGACATAATAGAAAGCACATGGCTCCGCTCCACTAGGTCAGCGTCGTGACGAAAACTTGCAATTCTTGACTCAAGATTCCATTTGGGATCGGGTGTAGTTTGATTCTGGTTATCATACCAGGAATCACGGCTCGCGGGATGAGTATATCGTCCCTTCCACTCCTCGGGCAGAGGACCTAAAGACAACACGAAACCACCAATAATTCCACCATTGAAAAACGTAGAAAAAGGCACGTTGCCAAGGTAAAGTTCCGAAAAGAGGATCATGTAACTCCACATGTCGCAGGCAGGACTGGGATCTTGTCTATGCAGGCGGTCCGGGGAGCAATATTGTAATGGTGGATAGCCACGTGGAGTCACGGGATCGCTCAGTTTCTTTGCCAGACCAAAGTCGCCGAAATAGAATTTTTGGGTTTGTAGGCTTTGGGGGATATTAGCAGGTCCAACGAGCTCCCCTTCCTTCCAGAGATCGTCCACCGGTATCATTTGCTTCAATGGCCGGCCCAATGCCTTGTATTTAGCACTCCTGGGTAGATGGTGGAGGGGTTGCATTCCCCACATACAATTTCTCTCATTCAAATCTGTTGGAAAAAACATCAGTATGTGGGCGAATAGAGAAAAGAGCAGGATCGTTTCGGCGTCACTCACCACGGTGGACTATCCCGGCCTTGTGTAAACTCTCCAACGCCTCTAGCAATTGCAGAGCAGCGGACATGCGAGTAGTCATGGACATGTTTATCACGTTCGGACAGTAAAGACATGGGCCCATTAAAGGAAATACTTGAACCGTATGGTGACATCCATCTCCCGGAAGTAGAAAGGTTTCCAGGTACGTCACAAAATGAGAGGAGGCATCACGCACATTCCGAATGATTTCGTCCTGCAGGCGGATTTCACTTTCACCTGATTCTCCTGCAAACATGATCTTGAGGGCAACGTCCCTGCTATTTTGTTGGTCATTGGCCATCCAGACGGTCGAGAAGCCGCCGGCTCCAAGCTTATGCTCTACCAGGTACCTCTCATTGATCAGGTCTCCAAGGCGGATGGGATAGAAGACATCTGAGGTCCTCGTTTTATCATATCTTTCCCAGGGCTCGGCAACCTCTTCCAAGTCCATTTCCTCGTCTTCATTGCGTACAAAATCGCCGAAGTCTTCCTTGCCATCTTGGTTGCAGTATTGAGTTGCTGCTGTCATTTCGATCACACCTGTCGTGCCACTCGAGGGTACTTCGATGGCAGTACATTATGGAGGGGCTGATGCGGAGGTGAGAGATGGAGGTGGTAAACTTGTTCAAGGAGGAAGGGGCTTATATTATAGTTGATCTGGCACAAAGATCAATTTAGCCGTAATACATGAACGTTCAAACAAATCTAGCAAGCTGACACACTTGCGAAGTAAATTCACTAGTCCATTCGCATATGTTGGGGATGACGAGGTTTTGTACGAAGTGGGGTGTGCCGGTGAGGAGTGTGAACTGTGAGGGAGTTACCGCGACGGATTGATGAGGCGTTTGGGGTGGCGTTGAGGGGGGGCTGGGGCCTGTGGTTGTGGAGGATTGGAGTGTTGTTGGCAAGTCTATGTAAAATATGGTTTGCTAGTAGGGAAGTATTGATGGTATGGTATTTAAGTAGGTAGTGGAAGTGACTGTAATATTATACCTCCTCGTTGGGTGACTGTGTCCTTTTCCCTCGGTTGTTTCGTATTACCTCTTCCGCTGTAGTATGTGTGACTACCACCTCTGTCGTGAGCACGATTCCCGCTGATTCTTGACGGGTCAGGATGTATTCCTCGCTGGTGTGACTGCCATCGCGGTAGTGGTATTTGGTCATTGTTGTTCCGTACTTGGAGTTTCTCTGGGCAGCACGGGGATCGCCTTCATCCAGATCGTCCGGGTCCAGAACGCTGAGTGGTCTGCTGCGGACGGATGGCTGTGGGTAAGATGGGGACAACGATTGTAGTCGGTACTTCTTGCTACCGTATGTGTAGCGCCGTGTTTTTGTTTGGGATCCATATGTGCCTAGGAATTGCTTGAAGAGGGGCTTCAGAGTGGGTAAGCTGCCTGCTATGATGCCCATGTTGGATTCGACGCTGTCATAGGATTTGTTAGTCTGGGTGGTTATAAGAGTAGGGAGGTTGACGAACACGACCCAGATTGTGAGGGTGGAGTAGTCCCATAAGAGGTCGCCGGTGCGACCATAGTTGGGCAGGACAGAAAGCTTAACAATTGCTGCGGCGCAGGCACTGACGTTTGGTTAGAGGATGTAGTTATGGGTGAAGGGGGGAATATATTGGTTGCTTACAATATCCCCAGTCCCAATATGCAGACCAACGAGGCTTTCACACGTCGGTTAACCTGCAAATGTCTGTGGCTGTCAGCTGGGGAAATAGTGCAGTTTTAAAATAAGGACGAACCGTAGCATTATCGCTGGTAGAATGGCAAATATGAGATCTGTCAGGATATTTAGACCTGGGATCGTTAGCAATGTCCTAAGAATCCGAGCAAGTTCCCTACCGGTATTTGTGTAGCTCAATTTTAGGAGCTGTGAGGATGTGAAACACTGTGATTTCACATTCTCATCCCAGATGGATCGGATATCCTTACACTCAAACATGAGTGTCTGCCATCATTAGTAGTGATTCATTATACAGGACGGGAGTGACAAACAAGAAAGCATATTATGGTATAGAGTAGCATGACCACTGCCACATTCATTAGCATTCGATAGAATAGACAGAGCAGGACGAGCAGATCAAAGCAGTTCCCATCTCCCTGCATTCATCCAGCGTACAGCTAGGTTCATGACATACCCATTACTACCCAGATGAATATCTTATAGCCCCGTCGCGGGGCAAACCGGAGGAGAAACAGCCCAATGGAGATCTTGACGAGCCCGATTGCCCACATATAGATACCCTGAGTGGCGAAATTCAGGTGTGTCGCTATCGAGGCCGTATTTTCCACATAGACCGTATGTCTTCCTGCACCATATATGACCTCTGGTATTATCACAGCAAATCCACCGAGTGACTATGGGCGTCAATGTCAGATTCCAGGCTGCTAGAGCGTCGGGAGGGGAGGTTACAAGTGCCATTGTCAACACCATGACATAATCCTAATTGTAGGTCAGTGTCCATTCTCCGGCTGCTTTTTGTCCTATACTCACATCGGGCCCAACATTTCGGATGAAAAACACACGGACATACATCCGGGCTAGGACCGTGAGTAATGCAAAAGCCGTGGTGATCGATGTAGCTGCCAAGATCTGGGGTCCCTGGCTCACATCAGGCAAGCCCGCGCCCCCCAGATGAGAATTAGCCGCCATAGTCGCACTCAAACTGGGGTATGCTTGTCATGGTACGATCATGAGTGTCCTTGGAAAACAGAGGGGGCAAATGGGCGATATAGCATCGGGTCACCCAGATCGCAGGATCAGAGCTTGCGAAAGCCTTCCACACGAGCTAGCGGCCTAATCTGCCGGTCGTATGCTTGCAATCCTTTTAGAGGAGCGTCGCAATGAAAGTTAACGCTAGGGAACTAGAGGAATGTCTAGGAAGCTAGGATTTCTTGCTGCTCTGGATTCCGGTGATAAAGGATCCCACTACTAGGATCTCCGATGCTAGAACTGGTAACCATCTGCTTCGTTGTCCATGCCGCAATCGACCCGTCCAGTTCAGCTCTGCCACCTTCATCTGTCAGGTACAATCTAATCAATTTCGCTTAATCTCGGCGAGAGGACCCAGTTGGCCCCCTGGGAAAGCCTCCAATAGGTCACGGTCTCTACAGTATGTCCGAGGCATTAAGGACGGCTGAACAGGAACATGACCAATGAGATAGTTCATGTCCATGTGTTGAACCTCGAACGCTCAGGTAGAACCTCGGAACGGCTCAACAACGTTTGTGAGTGGAGCTGACATCGTGCCATCCGCGCATCAGCTTGGAGTCCCACACACCAAACACAGGCCGAACGCGAAACCCCTGGCGATTCCCTGGAAGAGTACGTGTACGTACTCGAATCTGCTTATTCCTATCATTGCGTGCGGAAATCTCCGGCGGCACAGCACTTGTTTACTTAGCGTGAGAGCTAGAATTAGGGTTCATCTAGATATAAATTAATTTCTCTCGCCTAGTCAAGCACCAAACCAGTTGGACTGGGTGTTTCGCACAATGGACCGTAATAAGATAACTTACTAGAGATGATGGCTCAGAGCAAGCCAAAGACAGCAGAAATTTAGCATATGCAATGCTCAATTGGTAGATCTGGCTCGCAATTTTTACTGATCGTCCGTGTTTGGTCTTGGATGGAGGATCACACTTGGGCCACAGGCGGGATCGTTCAGGGATCGATCGATGAGCGGGTCAAGCCACTGAGAGCAGCGATTCCACTTTCAGGGCATTATAAGATATTGGGAGGAATCGAAGGATCCGATCCAGCCGGTGGAGGGATCCTTGGTTGTCGGAGAAAAGAGAAAGAGGGTGGAACCGGTTTGGTGTCAGACAGTCGGACCCGCGAGCCGCCATCGCTTAGCGGGTTCCGTCCCATACCGTATGATACTCTCAAAACTTACTCTTCTCCAGGCATCATTCTTCCTGAAAGTACAACATTGTGATAGCCCTGCATATACGACATTCTCACTATAAACATCCACCATCCACGTTCTCCTTTCGGTGGCTCAGAGCCTTCCGATCCCACCTCAGCAAACATGATTCTCACCATTCACGTGGATTCATTTCCTCCGGTCAACTCTGGCGGAGTCTGGAACCGATAGTGGAGCTGTCAGACAAGTCTAGAGCAGGTAGCGCATCGCCCTAACTGCTTAGATTATCATTGTTATTGGAGCTGTTTCGAACTCCATGTTTGCTCGGTCAGCATCCTAGTCGATTAGGGCTCCGTTCTATTTCTCGCCGGCCATCCGAATCTCCATCAATAGCATAGGCTCGTGCCCATAGCGAGATACGAACATCTAGGCGATCTAAACAAGGGATGGACACTTAAAAAGGGTTGGCATTCCCCTTTGGGGACACCTCTTTCTCTGCTCAGGCTGCGTTCCCGTTCTGTCCTGCCTCTGCCTCTCACTGTTCTAAAGCCAACCCAATGGTTGCTCTCAAGGCCCTCAGTCTGGGCCTGCTTGCTTCGCAGGCCTGGGCCGTGCCCACAGCCTCCCATACAGCTCTGACCAGCCCAGCTGCATCCGACGCTGCCGTGGCTGCCGCAGCTGCCAAGCTCGAGCAGTTGTCGAGCTATGCCCTTGACCAGACTCTGGCCAACCTCCCCAGCAGCTCCGAGGACAAGCAGGCCTGCACGCGAGAGACCCTGCGGATCCGCCGTGACTGGCGGGCGTTCTCGAAGCCCGAGAAGAAAGACTACATCGACTCGGTGCTCTGTCTGCAGAAGCTTCCCTCGCGCACCCCGTCGCATATAGCCCCAGGTGCTAAGACTCGCTATGATGACTTCCTAGCCACGCATATCAACCAGACTCTGGAGATCCACTATACAGTACATGTTACTTGCCCAGAAATCTACCCCCAACACTAACAAGAGTCTTAGGGAACCTTCCTCGCATGGCACCGCTACTTCACCTTTGAATTCGAGCAAGCCCTCCGTGATGAATGCCACTACACAGGCGACTTCCCGTACGCCCCTCTTTTCTCCCTCACCCCCTCACTCCCCAACTAACTTCAACTCACAGATACTGGGACTGGGGCTACGACGCCATCCACACAATGGAAGCGTCTGAAGTATTCGACGGCTCCGAGACCTCCATGTCCGGCAACGGCTACTACATCCCCAACCAAGGCAACATCTCCCTCTACCTCGGCAACTACGCCCCTATAATCCTACCCCCGGGCACCGGCGGTGGCTGCGTTACCAGCGGGCCCTTCAAGAACTACACTGTGAACATGGGCCCCGCCGCGCTCTCCCTCCCCGGAGGCAGCACCGCCGCTGTCTCCAACCCCCTCAACTACAACCCCCGCTGCCTGAAGCGCAGTCTCACCACCGCCCTTCTGCAAAAGTACAACACCTACCCCAAGATCACCTCGCTTATCCTGGACAACGACGATGTCTGGGACTTCGAGATGATCATGCAGGGTGTGCCTGGCAGTGGGTCGATTGGTGTCCATGGTTCCGGACACTATAGTATGGGTGGGGACCCTGGACGCGATGTGTATGTTAGTCCTGGAGATCCGGCGTTCTGGCATCATCATGGTATGATCGATCGGGTTTGGTGGATTTGGCAGAATTTGGATTTGAAGAGTAGGGAGTATGCGATCTCGGGGACGGGAACGTTCTTAAATGAGCCGGCGAGTAAGAATACTACCTTGCAGACGGTTGTGGATTTGGGGTATGCCAATGGAGTGCCGAGGAAGATGAAGGAGTTGATGAGTACGACGAAGGGGCCGTTTTGTTATGCTTATGTTTAGATTAAGGAGGTGTGGATGTATATATTGTTAAGGGTGATGGGTTGGATAGTTCTAATAAGAATGTATATAGTAGTATGTGTGATGCGAAAAGTGAATGGCATGATCTTGTTAGTACGAGAGAGAGTCAGAATTGGACTCATACAATGATTCATAGTATTTCCTTCAGTTTTACAGTAAGTGTTTGAGTCGTCAGTAATCCTGAAGTAGCGGTTATATCCAATAGATCAATTGTTAGATGTATAGCAACGTAGTATTTAGCATCTCCGTTCCACTCCCTTCCGACTCATACAGATATATTTCACTCCCTTATATGGTTTCACTCCCTCGCCTAGTCCGCGACTCCGCCGCGGATCGATGTTCAGGCTCTCTACCTTGAGCCCCGAGGGCAGCCAGCCACGAACGGAGAACGACACCGCTGCCGAGTTAGGCATTAGTGTCGCGTTTAGTTGGGTCTTGGTTTTACGGGGCGCCGAAAGGAAGATGGAGGAATCCGAGTAGGCTCGGCTGGGTGATTGTTTCTGTGATTGTGACTGTGACCGGGGAAGTGACGGTGGAGGTTGCGGCGAGGATGATTGAACGGGCGGTGTAAGCGTCTGCGATTGTTCGGGTTCAGGAGTAGGAGTATGTGTGAGTTGTTCGGGATCCTCCGGGTTCAAGGAGAGGGGTTCAGCGGGCGAAGAAGCTGAGGCTTCTGCTGCCGCTGCCGCTGCTGCTGCGCGGGAAGATGATTTCTTGACGACCTTCTTCTTCTTCTTTTTCTTGGTCTTGCGTTTCGTCGTGTCTGCTTCAGGGTTCTGGTAAGACGCGCTGGCGTCGTAGTAGCCCTGGAGAAGATTGGTGTCTGCGTCGATTTCTTCGACGTCGTCGTCCAGCTCGTCATCCGCATAGTGTCCTACGACGGTGCACCGGAGCGTCGCCGTCCCGGAAATTGTGCCGGCATCTTTGGTCGGCACGCGCCATTCTAGTACGCCGTTGCCCGGTGAGAATAAAGCCTCCCCACGGCTGGCTTGCATGTCTGTGATGTTCCGGACCGATTTCGGAATCGGGACGGTCACCACAACCTCTTCTAGCGCTGGCGCTGAGGAGTTGCCGCCTCCACCCCCGAGAAAAGAGGGTGTGGACGTGCCTGATCCGCTACGCCCGACACCAGGTCGACTGGAGGATGAGTATCCCGGGAAGTTTGTGTTGAGAATAAGGCGGACCTCGAAATCTGAGCCACTCGGCCCAAGCGATTTACGGATGTCCACAATAGCCGGCAAGAAAAGCTTCTCCATATGACTCGGGGGTTGATCAAGTGTAGGGTCTGTGGGCATAAGGTCCACCTCGTACCCGGCAAGAATGAACCGACCGTCTGGTGGTACAAAGCTGAGCTCGCCAGGGTTCTCCCGCCAGCGCGCCAGGCGCACGCATGGGTGGAATACCGGCAGCTCCAACTTACGTCCCAAGGCTTTTTGACCACCGGGTGCTGTTAACGAAAGAAGCAGATCAGGGACACCAGATATCTTGGCGGTGAAGGCGATAGTACCGGAAGACATCGCAGAGAGTATTCGTCCTGATGGCGCCATCGTCACGGAAAGTGACTCGATAATATCAACATAGAGCTCGTTGGAAGTGTGTCTCACTCCGGACTTTCTCCAGGGGATCGCAGGTCCTTGGGCGGCGGCGGCGGCTGATTGCTTCATGGCACTGGGTTGTCCCAGGATCGGTGTCGATGATCTGCGCATAAGAAAGGCCGTCAGTTCACTGTATATAGCATGGTGACCTTCATCCGGTAATGGTTGGCACTCACCCAGGCAATCCAACGCCGCCTAACAGCTTCCCCATCCATCCTGGCATTTCCACTACCTCCTGTAGCGCATTGGGCTCTGTATTGCAAACAACCCCCGCATCGCACATTTCGTGCAGAAGCTGTGCGACCACATCATAGTTCGCCTGGATCTTGGTGGAAAGTAAAGGTGCTCCAACGAAGTCCTCGAGAACATCAACAACCCGATGAATGAATTCCAAGGCAAGTAGCGGTTCCGTATCAACCTCGGACAGCGCCAAGAACAGCAGGTTGGACTGCACTACCGAGAACACTGTCACCGGCGGAGTTGTGTTTGGAAAGTAGATGAGTGACGGGCGCGGAGCTGCATAGGCATTATAGAGGGGGAGAATAGCCGATGCGGAGGGCGGACGGGAGCGATAGACCTGCTCGACGATCGGATTGCTGGAAGAGGACAGGTCAGTGACTGCTGGAAATCAGAACATTGAAAGGAACGGCGTGCCTCTGCTCATCATAGATATAGAGCGCATCGACCTGGCCGCTCATGATGGCGAAGGCGACCTATCCCGACCGGTGGGGGCGTAATGTAGTAGGCAGAGGTGGTCATGGTGCAGCAATGATGGTCGGTGATCCATCGGCCCCCATTTAGCGGAGTCCAAAAGCCCCTCGTTCTGCCGCCGATCCCCGCCTTTTCATGCATTTCCTTTGAATGGCTGCAGCTCGCCGCAACGAGCTAGTCTCCTTGATCGAGACTCGTCTGGACTGCTCTCTAAAAGACCTTTTTTTGTCTTTCGTTGACTCTATAACAATGTCTTCATCTACCCAGAATAATAGCGCCTTGGATGTCCAGCCCAAGGACGCGAAGCGTGCACTTGCGGAGGACGCATATGATGACTGCCTATCATGCAGAGTTACTGGTATGTTAATCTTTGTTTCTGGGCGATAATCATGGTACTATAGCTAATCTGATGGCTTGCAGGATCCGCCGCATTCATCGGCCTCGGTGTTTACAGCTACTACTCGGGATTGAAGAACCTCAAGATGAATGAAAAGGCAATCATGCAAGGAACAACCAAGTATAAGATGGGATCTCGACATCTCGGGCTCTTCACCATCTCTGCGACACTAGTTGGGATGGGAATATATAGAGCCTTCAACTGATGAAGCCACGACGATTTGTATATCATGTACTCTATACCATATATTCTACTCTGGCGTTGGTTCTTCTGATGACGGGAATGCACATCAAGTCAAGCGCTTCACCACTAATAAACATGTACAAAACAGTGTATAGAAAGGATCGTACGATTAATATAACACTAGCCGCCTCACCGGGTATCGCCATGTCTGATAACCTCTATATTTAATAGTAATGATGACCAAAGGAAATGGGATATGACAAGGAAATAATGTAAGCAAAGAGAATATGAGCACAAGGATAGAATGAAGATGACTGCGGAAAGATGACCCGTGGCCCACCAAAGGGCCACATGCAATACTCCTACTAATGCACCGAAAGGAAAACAAAGAAGAAACCACAAAAAAATGCAATTGACCGCTGCGTGACCGTGAGAATATATGCTCGTCTATTCGTCGATACCATATTTTCTAGGTGAAGCGGCCACGTTTGCCGCCCCCAAATATGTCTCGATTGCCTAGACCAGACAAGTCGAAGAAATCGGGCACGTTCAGCTTTCGTTTCGAACCGATCCCGACGGACGGTTCATGAGGGGACGACCGAGTGTTTGAGCGGGTGAAGTTATTATGACGATTCTGTTGCCGGGCGTTTCGAGGCAAGACGGAGACGCTGACCGGGGCACCATCTTGAGACGCTGGAGTCGAACTGTCGGTGGTTTGCATGTCCATATCTTGTTCTGGGAATTGCGGAAAGGTGGGCCCGGCAGTAAACGTAAAGATAGTTGGACGATCGAAGTCGTTTGATTCAGAGGCATGAGGGGTCGAAGGTGTTGGCAGCTGTTGCTGTGGCGGAGCTGGAGCTTGCTCCTCCGACGATAACTTGGAAGGCTGTCGGATCGGTTCGGATTCTGGCTGTGCCTTGCGGGCGGCAGCCGGCGTTGCGCCTCTGGTTTGTTTCTCAACCTCATCATCGTCGCTAGGGGCACCACTTCCATCACTCCGTTCCGTGGCCCATTGCCGAACTTTCCAGCCCTCCCCGTCGCCAAGACCGAGGTTCTCCCGGTCTAGGAAGTGTAGTAGATCCTCAATTGCTTCTTGGTATCCAGCTTGCTTGGCTTGCGACTGTTCGTAGACAGCATTCTTGTAGAGGTTCGTGACGGAGAGAGCAGCAGCCTTGAACGACTGTAGGAGCTGCTCAGGAGGTTGTGGCCGAGGCGTCGAGCTGGGCAGTGACGTGTTTAGGGATCTCATCGAGTCCATGGTGTGTGGTGTGGTGGCAGAAGCAGTCTGCCTGGGAGACTTTTGACAATAAATACTAGCGTTGGCGTCACTAGGAGGGGTGACTTGAACCGTGCTTCTGGGAAACAGGGGGTTAGGCAAACTCCGAGGCAACCCCAAGAAATATCAGGAAGAGGCAGATATGACTGATAGTCTGGACTAAAAGAGACAGGCCCAAAGAGGGGGCGTTATAGAGGGAGAAACAACAAGATCCGCAGGCAAACAAAGGACGTTGGCTGGCGATGACCGTTCGGAAAGGACGCTGGCGCAGCTGATCTTTCTTTGCGTCTGTCCCGGTAACGTGACCCACAGCGGGGAAACTGGTCTTCCGCCGCCTGCTGACTCAGAAATGACTCAGTCACGCCCTCGCGTCTCCCGTCCAATGAGCGCGTGCCCTGGCCGCGCTTCTCCGACGAAATTCCATTTGCCATCCCATGAGCGCGACTGGCGGTGCTTCTTCGTCCTTTCATCATCCGTCACTGTTTGTTCCTTTCGCACCTCCTTTGTGCGCCCCCCAACTTCAATTTCTCCCACCAGTTCCTCTACAGCCAGCTTTTTTAGAGGTCGTGGATCTTACATATTCCTAGGGGTCTTATCGATAGCTTCCTACCCTGGGTTGTTTTAATACCAACTCGTGTCCCGCTTTGTATAGTACCGAACAGCAGCGCTCGGTGCGCTGTGGATGGTGATGGCTCCTTCAGTTGAACCGACTCCCGACTCGCCATCACAGGCAGATACCCCTATGACAGACGCGAATGCTGAGCCTGTCACGTCGGTGCCCGTGGATAGCGCAGACGCGCCGATGACGGTGAGTTAGCGCGAATCCCCTCTTTGCGCCATGTATTATCTTCATGCGCGTCCTTGGTTAAACGGCAAAGGGCTCCAGCTGACAATAATCCTAATTCAGGGCTACCAGGACACTCCAGACTACACGGTAAACGCGACTCAATAACTCGGCGATCCGCCTGACGCATGAGCCGACTAACACAAATTAGGACTCGGATACGAACCCAAATACCACGGCGAGCAGTGTTGCAGGCGACGCAGCGCCTTTGGATGGCCGGAGACGGAGGTCTGAAGCTTTCCACATGAGAAAAAGTATCTTGGGCAAGAAGCATGGTCGTTTGGATGAGTCGAAGGTACGCCAATGCGATGGTCGTGTTTTGATGATTTGTCGCTCACGGTGTGTGTTACTATAGGAAGATGATTCTATCCGACGATTTCGCTACCTCCTCGGTTTAACCGACTTATTCCGTCATTTCATCGAAACCAACCCTAATCCGCGGATCAAGGAGATCATGGCCGAAATCGACCGGCAGAATGCTGAGGAGGAGGCAAAGGCCAAGAAGAAGGGCTCGTCGCGCTCAGGTGGTGCAGGTAGTGAAAGGCGTCGCAGAACAGAGCAAGAAGAAGACGCCGAGCTGTTGAAGGATGAAAAGTCCGGCGGCGAAACCAACACTGTCTTTCGGGACTCCCCGCCGTTCATCAAGGGAGAAATGCGCGATTACCAGATTGCAGGATTGAACTGGTTAGTTTCGCTGCACGAGAACGGTATTTCAGGTATCTTGGCGGATGAAATGGGCTTGGGCAAGACTTTGCAGACCATTTCTTTCCTTGGCTACCTCCGACATGTATGCGATATCACCGGCCCGCACCTCATCGCCGTCCCGAAATCTACCCTCGATAACTGGAAGCGGGAGTTTGGAAAGTGGACACCTGAGGTCAATGTGCTTGTCCTCCAGGGTGACAAAGAACAGCGACACAAGCTGATCAATGAGGAGCTTCTCGATGAGAACTTCGACGTTTGTATCACTAGTTACGAGATGATTCTTCGAGAAAAGGCGCACCTTAAGAAGTTCGCTTGGGAGTACATCATCATCGACGAGGCCCATCGGATCAAGAACGAGGAGTCTTCTCTGGCGCAAATCATCCGTGTTTTCCATTCCAGGAACCGACTACTGATTACCGGTACCCCACTTCAGAATAACCTCCACGAGCTTTGGGCCCTCCTCAACTTCCTGTTGCCGGATGTTTTCGGTGATTCGGAGGCTTTCGACCAATGGTTCTCCGGACAAGACTCCGATCAGGATACAGTCGTGCAACAACTCCATCGCGTTCTGCGACCTTTCTTGCTTCGCCGTGTCAAGAGTGACGTCGAGAAGAGTTTGCTGCCTAAGAAAGAGGTCAATCTTTACGTCCCCATGTCGGAAATGCAGGTCAAGTGGTATCAGAAGATCCTCGAAAAAGATATCGATGCGGTCAATGGCGCCGCCGGCAAGCGTGAATCAAAGACCCGTTTGTTAAATATCGTCATGCAACTTCGCAAATGTTGCAACCATCCCTACCTTTTTGAAGGTGCAGAGCCTGGCCCACCCTACACCACCGATGAGCATCTCATCTACAATGCTGGAAAGATGACGATCCTTGACAAATTGCTGGCGCGTATGCAGAAACAGGGAAGTCGCGTACTCATCTTCTCCCAGATGAGTCGTGTCCTTGATATTCTCGAAGACTACTGTGTTTTCCGCGAATACAACTACTGCCGCATCGATGGTACAACGGCCCACGAGGACCGAATTGCTGCTATCGACGAGTACAATAAGCCGGGATCAGAGAAGTTCATCTTCCTGCTCACAACAAGAGCCGGAGGTCTTGGTATTAACCTGACGACGGCCGATATTGTCGTTCTCTTTGATAGTGACTGGAATCCTCAGGCTGATTTGCAAGCAATGGACCGTGCCCACCGTATCGGACAGACGAAACAGGTTGTGGTGTTCAGGTTTGTTACAGAGAATGCGATCGAAGAAAAAGTCTTAGAACGTGCCGCACAGAAGTTGCGGCTCGACCAGCTTGTCATTCAACAGGGACGCGCTCAGCAGCAGACCAAGAATGCCGCGTCCAAGGAAGAATTGCTGGGTATGATCCAGCACGGAGCTGCCAATGTTTTCAACACTCAGGCCAACACCACCATATCTGCGGAACACCAGATATCCGAAGATGATATCGACAACATTCTGCGAAAGGGCGAGGAGCGGACTGCGCAATTGAACAAGAAGTACGAAAAGCTTGGTATCGACGACTTGCAAAAATTCAGCTCCGAAAGTGCGTACGAATGGAACGGCAAAGACTTCACAGATCGCAAGAAGGACATTGGTATCAACTGGATCAACCCGGCGAAGAGAGAGCGTAAGGAACAGTTTTATTCTATCGACAAATACTATCGCCAGGCTTTGGCAACTGGTGGTAGAACGGCTGATCCCAAGCCCAAGGTTCCTCGGGCGCCAAAGCAGATCACTGTCCATGATTGGCAGTTCTTCCCGCCTGGGCTTCAGGAGCTGCAGGAGAAGGAGACGGCCTACTTCCACAAGGAAATCGGATACAAGGTTCCTCTGCCTGATGGTCCGGAAGAAGAGCTGAGCGAGCGCGAGGCCGAACGTGATCTTGAACAACAGGAGATTGACAATGCAGTGCCACTAACGGAGGATGAGCAGGCGGAGAAGGCGAAGATGTCTGAAGAAGGCTTCTCCAACTGGAACCGCAGGGATTTCCAACAGTTCGTGAACGGTTCGGCCAAATTCGGCCGTACTGACTACGTTGGAATCGCCACCGAGGTGGACAGCAAAGAGCCGGAAGAAATCGAGGAGTACGCGCAAGTATTCTGGGAGCGGTACACTGAAATCCAAGATTATCCCAAGTACCTCCGTGTCATCGAGCAGGGCGAGGATAAATTGCGGAAGATGAACCACCAACGCAAAATGTTGCGCAAGAAGATGGAAATGTACCGCGTACCACTCCAGCAAGTCAAGATCAACTACACTGTGTCTACCACCAACAAGAAGGTCTATACGGAAGAGGAGGATCGGTTCTTGTTGGTAATGTTGGACAAATATGGAGTCGATGGCGAAGGTCTCTACGAGAAGATCCGTGACGAAATCCGCGAGTCTCCCCTCTTCCGGTTTGACTGGTTCTTCCTTAGTCGAACCCCAGTCGAGATTGGACGTCGGTGCACCACCCTGCTGAACACCGTGGCAAAGGAATTCGAAACCGATGGAAAGGCAAACGGTGAGAGCGGCAAGGGCCGGGGACGTGACCGCGACGACGATGAAGCCGAGGAGGATGAGGGCCCACCTACCAAGAAGAAGACGAAGGGCGGTGCAGTTGTAAGTTTCCTTGACATTCCTACCATACACAGTCACAATAGAGTAGCCCGGCTAACCAACCCATAGAATAAGCAAGTTAAGGCCGTCAAGGGTGGCAGCAAGGCAACTTCTACCTCAACGTCGCGGGCAGCCAGTGTCTCTTCAAATGCGGCACCCAAGTCGAGGAGTCGCAAGAAATGATCTCTTCCTGTAATCAGAGGTGGGCGATGACGAGGATTGTTACGACTATTCTGTAGACTGTTTGGGAAGCCAATTTTTTGAGGAGGGAGGGTTTGTTGGTTCTATTTTGTTCCATATATGTCGGTCCGGCGTTGGCAGATAGATGCCATTGTAGTTTTATGATCATCTTCCATCTCCTTCGCTTTTGTAAAATGACACCTTGTGGTTAAAAAGACCTTTTGAAAATTGTCTTCCATCACATAGTGCACTCGAAACCGCAACCTGATCATTCAGTATATTACCCAGCTCGGTGACTTGACTATGAGGTTGAAGCCTCAAGGACAGGAGAAAGAGCTCTTCATACCTCTACTGATCATGATGGCTTAGTTTATATAGTAGACTTGAGAGATTGTCTCATGTTTGAGAAAAGCCTCTCAGTATATTTGTATGCTATGATTTTATACTATGCGATTCGGACGTATGTGTACATATGATGTCGTTGATATTACTGTACAGATGCTCATTCCTCACCAGACCCTAGTATCCTCCTTCTTGGCCCATGAAACCGGCACCCGAAGGAACATATTCATCAACAAAGCAGCCGCAACGCTGACATTGAGACTGTCCACTCTGGCCGGATCTGACTCCACGCCCAACTCGGGGCTGATTTTAGCACCAGGGATGCCAACAACAGCATTTGCCTGGGAAAGGATGTGGGGGCTAAGCCCCGCGCCCTCACTGCCCATCATAATGACACTCGGTGCCTGGGTGACAGTGCCCTCATTCCCAAACTCGGCCGGGTCCATATATACAGATGAAGATCCCTTGCCTGGCGCATCAGCGGCGTAAAACCGCCACCCGTTTTCTTTTGATTGTCGAATAAAATCGACTTCATTTCGCACGTGAAGAAATGTCATATGTTCTGCGGCTCCTGCAGATGCCTTGATAACTACTGGGGATATCTCTGCTGAGTTTCGGCCCGCGAAAACTATGGCGTCGGCTCCCATGTAGTAGGCGGAGCGAATGATGGCACCGAGATTCCCGGGATCGACGATGCCGTCGAGTAGTACAACAACAGGATACCTTTTTCCAAAGGTGTTGTTGATGTCAACCGTGTTGTTCATAGTGTTTACCTGTGCTTCTTCTCGCGATTGCGCTCCCAGCTCTAGGCTGAAGTGATCCGCCCCCAGAGATGGAACGGGCCTGAAATATTGCACTGGCAGCCGAGGCAAAGGGGATACCTCAAGAATACAGCCTTGGTGAGGTCGGCCATCACTCATCTGGTCGAGTAACCGGCGCCAGCTTGCAAAAGCCATTTTTACCGCCACATTTTTCGAAAGTGCCAGTTTTCGTAGAGCTATTTTCTCCGGGGTTAATTCTTGGCCCTCTGATTGGTAGAGGTAGAGTTTGTATAGCCGGCGACGGCTGCCACGTAATGCAGCCATGCATGCAGAAATTCCATAAACAAACTGCGATGCAGGCGTGGTATAAGGCACTGAGAGGGGGATTTTGACGAAACTTTTGACTTCTTCGGGAAATTTGTCGGTGGGACGATGTTGGCGAGGCGGGGGAGGCCTGCTCTGATAATCCTGGGATAATGTGCGGAAACGCCCACTCCTGATTTCTTGATCGTCGCCGACATAATCAGGGTGCCTCACTTCCTCATTCGTATAGATCTTCTTTCCATCTTTCCCTCTTTTAGTTACAGTTCTTTCTGTTTGATATGCGCGAGGCAATGCGCGAAATGTCCCTTTCTTGATGAACTCTTCCTCGTCGAATGCGGTTCCAGAACGGTGCTCCCGCGCTTCTGGGCGTTTGTCACGCTTGGCCATGTTTCTTTTGTGCCCACCATCCCGAGCATCGCGGGCGGAATTGCGTCGTTGAGGTACATCATCGACATATTGTGACCTGCGGATGCCCCGGCCAATGGCCGAGTTCAGTGATGCATGTCTGACGGGGTGCAAATGAGCTGACGGTGCTATTGAGGGTCGAAGGTAAGCTCGAAGAGAGGTGAGAGACGATTGGAGAGACATCGTAGTCCAGAGAGCTGTGACGGACAGTAGAGACAGGTCTATAGAGATTAGAAACCCTCTCTTTCTATCCACTCTCGAACGATGAGCTTGAAGATAGTAAGACTTCTGCTGGCGTCGGGAGATGTATGCTAGGCGGAGAGTCCTGCAACGACGATCTCCGCCTTTTGGAGGTGGTTTTTTCCTGCTCACCGCCCGATAAGATAAGCGCATCAATATTGCTCCGCCGCGGAATTTCGCGTTTGTCGGGGAAACGCGCGAGTCTGGAATCTCATTATCACCCACTTGGGAATTGGGGGTCCAACTGCAATTATGTTGACGCGCATATTGCTCATTTGACAGTCGTTCTATATGGTCACTTGCTTTGTAATAGCGTTTGTTGTTGAGTATTCTGTTGTTCTAATAGTCTCCCCACATCATGGATCTCCTTTTACAAACGCTCGGTAGCGGCGAGGGGCCGGATAATGCAGACAACGATGGAGATATGGTCAAGGAGCTCTTCGCCAAGTTCAACAATCCCACAGCGAGTCGCGAGGAAGAGCTTGAGCCGCAATCAATATCTGAGCCTTCTGTCACGGTTGAAATTCCAGTCACATCAACCAGTGATCTGTCGCAGTACGAGTTTCTTCCTGGACATTTTGACGTCCGCTATGTCATTAGTGAAATATCCGAGGCAGATGCTGGACTGAGCTATCAGGTGAAGCTGCAGAGTGGTGAGACTGAAACTGTAGGTATCGCGTGGGCCTCTTTTGACTCTCACTTCTCTGTCATATCACTGACAATCGACTTCTTTCTTAGATGTCCTTCGCGCAACTCCAGTCCCTCCAGAACGGTCCCGAGTCTCTCTCCAACTTCCTCAACTACGGACCAGATCACTACATCTCCTCTCGGTCAGCTTCGGCTGTTCCTTCCGAAGAACAGTCTCCCTCTTCTGAGTCAGATATACCCGATATGAGGCGTTCCCGGCGCACTACTCGTGGTCAACGATCTGGTTTCACAGCATTCTTTGAGGCCATCAGCAGTGATGAAGGAACCCGCCGTTCGAGAAGGAAGAGGTCGCCTTCAAGCGAGGACTTAATTGTGTCTTCAGGGGCTACCTCTAAGAAGCGTCGAGTCTTGCGACGCCGCGAAAAGCATACGCGTTCGGTGGTCTCGCTTTCCGATGAAAGCGATTATAGTGCACCCAAAGGCACACGGCATTCTACAAGGACGCGGAAGTCAAAGAAGAAAAGCTTGCGCGAGAGGAATGAAGATGACATCTCAGATGCTGAGGATGCCCCTCGGATGCAGAAGTTCTTTGGGGCTAAGGAGTTCTTTCGCAAAGTCCCAGAACATGATACATTTCGCCAACGCCATAGGAATGTATGCGAAGTCTGCCATATCATTGGTGATGACTACGCGAAAGGCCCTCTGGTTTTCTGTCAAGGATGTACGAGCGCCTACCACCAAGGGTGTCTCGGTCCACGCTCTGCACGAGAACATCTTGTCACAAAAGTAGCTGAAGATCTATTTCTTCTCCAGTGCCGGCGCTGTCTGGGCATTTCTCATGCCAAGGACCCCTCTAACCCACATCAAGGCCGCTGTTCAATTTGCAATATCAGAGGGAATATGTCTAAACCGATCCGGGAGCGTCTGACACCAAAGCAGGAGCAACAACTCCGGCAGCAGAATGATGGTAAAGATCCTATAACGCCCTTTGACATGTCCCGGGTCAACGACGTCGAGAACCTGCTCTTCCGCTGCACCACCTGCCACAGAGGCTTCCACTTCGAACACTTATCCGAAATAACGCACATGACATGGCAGTGTGAGAGTTGTGCATCAGTACCTGGAGAGGTTGGCGCGATAGTCGCGTGGCGCCCTGTGGTCCACAAGTCAGATGCTGCCAAGGGAGCAGATATGGAGTACCTTATTAAGTGGAAGAATAAATCCTACAACCATACCACCTGGATGCCGGGCAGCTGGGTTTGGGGCTTTGTGAATCATCACATGCGGCGTGCCTTTATGAGGTCAGATAAACGCCTCGAACCCTGTATGACCGCCGAGGAAGCGATTCCTGAGGACTTCTTGCTCGTGGACATTGTCTTTGATGTAAGATTCTCCGGCACCTCGCCTGACACAGGCCGCAAACGTACCTTTGAAGAAGACGTTGCACGTGTGGATGATGTGGTAGAAATGTACGTCAAATTCAAAGGTTTACCGTATGAGGAGGTCACCTGGGACACGCCTCCCGAGCGCAGCAGCAACCCTGAGAGGTGGGAGAGTTTCCGAGCTGCATACGAAGACTGGGTCAAAAGGGAGTATACTCACATACCCAACCAAGACAACCTCAGACGGCGTATTGCTCACGTCCGAAAGCAAAACTTCAGCTCCAATGTTGTCAAAAGTGGGCAGCCAGAGACAATGACAGGCGGACAAATCATGGATTATCAGAAGGACGGACTTGACTGGCTCTACTACATGTGGTACAAACAGCAAAACGCTATCCTGGCTGATGAAATGGGTCTCGGTAAGACCATTCAGGTCATCGGCCTAATCGCAACCCTTGTTCAATATCATAAATGCTGGCCTTTCCTGATTGTTGTGCCAAATTCGACGTGCCCGAATTGGCGGAAGGAGATCAAAACATGGGTTCCCTCACTGCGGGTAGTCACATACTATGGATCTACATTCTCTCGGAAGTTAGCACAAGACTATGAAATGTTCGCTGATGACGATACAAGCCTTCGGTGCCACGTCGTCGTAGCTTCGTACGAAACCCTGGTCGACGACGCATCCCGAAGACTGCTATCGAAAGTACCTTGGACTGGCCTCATCGTGGACGAGGGGCAACGGCTAAAGAACGACAAAAGTCAACTGTACGAAGCATTGTCACGAATCAAATTTCCTTTCAAGATTCTTTTGACGGGCACTCCCCTCCAGAATAACATAAGAGAGCTTTTTAATTTGTTGCAATTCTGTGATCCGTCTAAGAGGGCAGATGACCTCGAAAACGAGTATGGGGATTTATCAAAGGAGAATATACTTGAACTACATAACATGATCCGTCCATTCTTCTTGCGACGGACAAAAGCCCAGGTTCTCAGTTTTCTCCCCCCAGTGGCACAGATTATCGTCCCTGTTTCGATGACTACGGTGCAGAAGAAACTGTACAAATCCATATTGGCTAAGAACCCTCAGCTTATCAAGGCAATCTTCCAGAGGAAAGAAGGCACCCGTGCCTTGAAACAAACTGAAAAGCATAATCTCAACAATATCTTGATGCAGCTGCGGAAGTGCCTATGTCATCCGTTTGTTTACAGCAGGGCCATCGAAGAGAAAACGAGCAACGCTGCCGTTTCGCATCGACATTTGGTAGATGCAGCTGCCAAGTTCCAGCTATTGGAACTAATGCTGCCAAAACTCAAGAACCGCGGCCACAGGGTTCTGATTTTTAGTCAATTCCTTGAGAATCTGGACATCATTGAAGATTTTCTGGAAGGTGTCGGCTTAATGTATCTTCGCCTCGATGGGAGAATGTCATCGCTCGAGAAACAAAAGACTATCGATGCATACAATGCCGAAGACTCACCGTACTTTGCATTCCTCCTATCAACTCGATCTGGTGGCGTTGGAATTAACCTAGCTACCGCTGATACAGTAATTATTATGGATCCCGATTTCAACCCACATCAGGATATGCAGGCATTGTCCCGTGCTCATCGCATAGGACAAAAGAACAAGGTCCTCGTCTTTCAGCTCATGACCCGGGCAAGTGCCGAAGAGAAGATCATGCAGATTGGCAAGAAGAAAATGGTTCTTGACCACGTCCTCATTGATCGCATGGTTTCGGAGGAAGACGATGGACGAGACCTGGAGACCATTCTGCGGCACGGTGCTCAGGCCTTATTTGATGACGATGATTCTGGCGACGTCCGCTATGATTCGGAATCGGTTGACAAACTTCTTGACCGCAGTCAAGCCGAGCAAGCTAGCACACCCGATGACAGCAATCAGGGTAATCAGTTCAGTTTCGCTCGGGTTTGGGCGAACGATAACCAGAATCTCGAGGATCAACTGCAGAACGTGGAGGAAGAGCCTGCGCCAAGTGCAGATGTTTGGGAAAAGATCCTGCGGGAGCGAGAGCAGGCAGCTGCCGAGGAAGCCAGACGAAAGGCTGAAACCCTTGGTCGTGGGAAACGTAGACGGACTGCTGTGGATTATGCGAACGATGCTTTAATGGAGCTGTCGCCTAACAAAGACCGCCATGCTCGTGAGGAGGTGGAAAGTGACAGGGAGTTCAGAGCGGACGATGCAATGGAATCAGAATCCGATTTTGCGCCCGAGCTGGATTCCGACGACATGGACCAGGTCGCTAAAACTTCCAAAGGTGAGAGCGCCCTTGCATCGGGTAAGGTCTTCTGGCAACTAACAGAAGCCACAGTGCGTGCTTCCCAACGCGTTACCCAGCAGGATCTACCTCCCCCGTTAGATGGCAATGTAGACCCCGTCCTCCATCCGGGGCCACCCTGTTTAGCGTGCAACCGGGTCCACGTAGTTGGACATTGCCGCCTGAGGATGGCCGGCGTCGAACACTGTCCTCTGTGCGGGCTTGCCCATTATGGGTATTCGCGTACATGTCCGCATTTGCGGTCAGATACTCAAGTTGCCAGAATGCTTGCCGCTCTGAAGCAAAGTACTGAGGACCGTGAACTTGTCCAGCTAGCTAAAAAGTACTTGAATGGGGTCCGTGGGGACCTTGCACAGCGTAAGAGGAAGCAAGCCAGTAAGGCTGCATCGAGTCTCACAAACCCTGGCATACCCACCACGGATTCGAATGCCAGTGCCGCTGTGACAACGAACTCTCCGATGTTCGATCTTACCGCACAACATACCACACAGGCCACACTTGAGGCACCTAGTGACGTTGGCGCGACCAACTCCTCCATCATCGATCTCACCTCAAATGATGGCACACGGCAGTCGACATACCAGCAACCAGCATGGGCCCCCCCTCAGCCATTTCGGAATTCTTATGGATATTCGGGACATGAACCATAGATAGTATTAAGACGGCGAGGAGTTGGTGGTGCAAGGATCAAAAGCATATACGGGGATTCTTCGGCGTTATTGGGCGTACGGGCTGCAATCTTGCATCGTTATGGGTGCATGTACATACATACATAGACATCATACCCAATCATATCATTAGCATGACTGGAAGTTTCCGACATGAACCCGAGGCACTTTCCCTTTGAGGCTGTAAACCGAATTGGTCACATGTTTTTGTGGCCTTTCGGTTTCTGCCGCCGTCAATTTCCCTCCTTGCAGCTGTCATCGCATTCCTCACTGGACCCCTGGCCGATATACTTACACTTAAAGCAGACCAGATCCCCTCGTTCACCTGACGAATGGTTATATCCGGAGCCCACGCTCAAAGCTTGTGGGATAGCTTAATTTCTTCCAGAAGATGCCAACATTTCTCGAGTCGCACAATGGCCTTGGTGAAAAAGGCCGCGCCATCGCTGATAGGGCTGTAAGTGTAGAATATATCCGCATTGTGTCTCAAACGCTATCTCTATTTGGCTAATCACAGGAAGCCGTTTACTGCTGATCTACTGGGCAGTTAGTGTCGCTATGTCACCAACACCAATGGTTGATTTAGCCGTTTGTATCGCCACGTTTTATTGGCACTCAATGTCTCAAAGAATGGGAATATGCCACCAGTATGATCCAGACAGAGGATGGGAGCTTCCCACAGTATGATGTCTCTCGGAAATACCATACAAAGTGGCCAAACCACGTACAATACAAACATGGGTGTTGGCAGCTTCCCGCCTTTGACAACCATCATAGGGGAACAAGGGGTTCCACGGGATACAGGGAGATCATGGCAGAAAAGGAAAAAATAAGATGAATGTCAAAGGGCTCCAGTTTTCAAGGATGGGCCATTGTGTTCCCAACGAAACCGACAAGACAGACCAGAACAGCGTGTGTGCCAGAGTGGGAGGGCTGCAGCCATCCGAGCCGGATGTTGTACTGACCAACATCATCGGACAAACACTGGCGGAATTGAGCCACAACGGGACCCAAGTCGGAGCCTGCTGTTAAAGCGCTTTGGGGGCTCTTTCACGTTACTCTCCTGCTGCCTTTCCACCCTCTTGGATGTCTGCTCCGCAATTTAGCGGAACCTTCCTTTCCCTAACTGTGGATGTTTACGGTGACTCCCGAATAATACCTTGTATCCTGCACCTGTCGCTATCCCTTCTATCTTACCTTTAATGGCATTGTCCGTATAAGCTTTCTTATCTTATATATTATGCATTCATCTATATTTAAGTTCCTCTGCTTGATTTCGTTTTAATGATTCCAAATTTTCCGTGTCAGTACTGTTATCCAATCCCCACTGCCGGCTTCAGTGAATGGTAGTGACATTTCTCTCGCTCATACACCCAAGCCATTCACCACGCGCTTTGAAACGCGCACTCGCCTACCGTCATTCTTTTTTCTCCTCCTACCTCTTGATTCCCTTGGCTTTCTTGTTGAACACTTCCATCTCCCTTCTCATCTCTTTCCTCCCGCAAGCCGCTCACCACTACACTTGAATCTAGGATCTATCATTCCCGACTCTTCATCTCTTTACGAGACATCATCCAAACATCTGGTTACAGTTTTATGCTGCCAAGTCATAATGTCCTCCACGATTCATCCCCAGTACTTCTGTACTCGTCCTAATGGCGCCTTCACTCCCCTTATCGCCGTGGATGAGCTCCCCTCGCATATCTCGATTCGTGGGGCTCCCCGTGTGCTAGCAGCCAGTGAAACCCAAGGAATGACGAGCCTTGGGATTGTACAGATGAGGCCCCAGTCATATGTTGTCGAAGGAGCTGGCCCTGCTTCCACTCGAGAGACGTCCACGAGTTCGACCGGACACCGCACCCGTGACTCTGATTTACAGGCCGCGTTGATGAGAGTCCTTTCCGATGAGTGTCTTCCGACAAACGAGCGTCTGGCTATTACAACGCTGATACAGCATGGTCTTTCTCGCGGCATGTTTACGCCCAGTTCGTCCAGTAACGGTTGGTTGGTGCCTAATAGTGGTGGTAGTATTGCTGGCAATGTGGGTTCTAGACAAGTAAGTCCTAATATGTAGCATTACAAAGGTTTTGAAAAAGGAAAACGCGTGTGACTGACCCTCGACCAGGGACCTCACTACAATACCAAGAAAGAATACTGTTCGTACTGGATTCGCCATGGCGAGTGTGACTATTCACAACAAGGCTAGTATTTCAGTCGTCTGGTTGTGTAGTATGACCACTAATATGACCATAGGCTGCCTTTATAAACATGAGATGCCTGGCGACCCGGCGATGCTCGAGAAGCTTGGCCTCCGTGACATCCCCCGCTGGTATCGTGAGAAGTATGGCATTCCCAGCCTGATACCGAATGGACATGTTCATCCTCGTCATCAAATCGGACATGCTCTGCCACTGACGGACAATGGGGGTTTCGGAGCGGTCCACAACCCATCTCGCCTTGGGGCAAACATCATCTCGGACATTTCTGATTTTGAAAGGGACTCTCAGCAGAAGACTCATTATGCTATTCAGCACTCACCAGCTGCACTTCCTGGATCGTCGCGGCCTGTCTATGCCGCCGCAGGACCGTCCAGGGCTCAAATGCCCCAGAGACACGGAGCAAAGAATTCTTCGAAAATGGATCTTTTATCCTTTGACCCTCTCCCAGAGTACCCCAGCTACACATCCGTGGAATCTGCGCCCGGGAAGATGCGCGCGCTGGCCAACGCAAATGGCACCGCCGCCTTTGCGAGTGTCAACAGCGAGCGTGAGGACTTCGTCCGCAGTATACAATCTCTAATGCCGACTCCAATATCCGGGAGCTCGGAGTACCTGCTGGCCGGTGGTTCTCCCTATAAGCCTCGTTCCAAGAAGGCACAAAAATCCCGCCGGTTGTATCAGCCTCGGCCTGCTATCCTGAAGCAGGAGTCCGAACCTGAAGCAAGCGAAGTAGATGCATTCAGCGGGGAGAGTAGAGGCTATGGCACTGCTCCGCCGAGCGTTGCATCTCCCATTTCTAAGGTTGACCACCCAAGCCCGAACATCCGGTCTGCCCTAGATAGCGCGTCCGAGCCGGCTACTCGCGGTGCCTCCCCTTTAACCCAGTCCGGCACTGCATCTTCGGACTCGAGTCCCGATCTTGTCCGCGACCGACACAAAGATAAAAAAGAACACAAAGCGGCCTTCGGCGCTATCGGTACCAGGAGAGGGTTCGGTAAGTCGTGTGACGGGTCCTTCGAAGTTGATCTGTTAGGCCTGGGCACCAAGGACGATGATTAAGGCCCGGCCGTCCAACGAATCCCGCTGCTTGAGTAGTCCTGCACTGCTCGAGACAATTTCAATTAAATATGAGACGTAACTATACAGGGTCTCGATCCTTTATGATATGATACACGACACGGCGAGTACTAGTCGAACTAAATATACTTACAAAGTTGATGAGTCCGGCGGGTGTGGATGGCTCAAGGATGCCAGGTCATTATATTATTGCCATCGGCATTTAGTTCTCTCTGGTTCTTATCTGTGCCCAGACCAGATGTCTCTCCTTTCGTTCATGATCTAGGTTGGGAAGGGAAAGAGTGGTCGTCAGGATACATGCAACCGGCGCAAGGCGCGGCGGAATGTCAAAATTTCATTATCGACGTCCTGTGCTGAAGGGTTCTCGGTGGTGTGTTTTGTCTTCTGTCCTCTGGTTCTTTTACATGTGCTAATTATGAGTTTCGATTTATGTTGTCGTCTCTTCTTTTCCGTGTGTTTTTACTACCTTTGCTTGCTCTGTTCCTCTAGTTTTCTTTTCCTTTGTTGAAACGGTTTGGTATGCTGGATATTATAGCATATATCATGTCTATAGTACCAGGAACATATCAGAACCTCATAATATATGGAATGTAAAGTCAACAGAGCCGTTGCAACGTAGTGTATCATCCCCCGATGCTATTAGGTCCAATCAGACAGTATCAGGATTCATGCAGTTATAATAAGTAGAGGAAGTGCTAGTTAACGATGAATGAGATATAATACATTGACATAAAATAAATGTGTCTAATACAACCTTGCGAAATATGCGCCGCCCTGTTTTGTCTGAGCTTACACAGGTCAAAGAAAATACTACAGTATACCCTCGAAAACAGACACATCAGGTTACCATATGGACATACTCCCTCCGTTTCTCGTAAATGATAACGATCATGGTGGAAGTGAGGCGTGGTGTTTGTTTCCCTAGAATTCCCTCCAGAACTCATCACAGCTCAATGCTCAGCTCACCGAACCCTCTTCCTCTGAGCCTTTGCATTGACCTTCACTGCAACCTTCTCCCGCTCTTCCGTGGCCTTTGCGTTCAACGCAGGGTTCAAAGCCGGCAGGGTCCGCGCCGCCTGCAGAACGACCTTATTGCCGTCCACCCGCTCCTGCTCCTGACGCTGTCTCTCAGCACGAGTAGCCTCCAGCTGCTTCTTGCGCTCGGGTGTCATAACCCAAGACTCGGGGAAGCGGTGCGTAACCTTGGGCTTGTGGTGACGCAGATCGAGAGGGACGTCGGCGAACGAGTCGCCCTCCTTCGCTTCCTTGATCAACGACTTGATGGTGTCACCAAGGTAGCGCTTGTTTTGGGCGCGGAGCGGGAATTTCTCGCAAGACATGCGCACAATATCGGTTTGGGGGTTGTAGCGGACACCGACGAGTTTGAGGAAGGTCTGGCGTTGCGCTTCGGTGAGGTATTTGGGTGTCAGATCTTTGGAGGACAACTCCACAACGACCTTGGGTTCGGCGGGGTGCTGCTCGCCCATGTATGTTGTGTAGCGGAAGCGGAGGATGTGAGATTCGGGGGGGAGGGTGAAGGGTTTGGCGAGCTCTATTGCGGGTTATCAGCAAAGGGATTGTGTCTGACATGAGGGGGAAACTATGTGGGGTCTGGGTGTAGGTGTGGCTGCATACCGCTCAGCAATGGCATATCCCAAGCGGCGATTCGAGCGTATTCTCTGATTTCACGATGCTGTTCGAGTTGTGCGTAGGCCATGCTCGTCATTTCGTCATCGTTGAAATCCTCATCGCCGTCCTCAACGAGAGCCAGATCATCTGGTTCGTCTTCCGCCCAGAAGCCGTTCGATCTGACTCTCGGGGCCTCGAAACGCATATGTGTTTCTCTTTCGATCTGGAAGACTTCCTTGTCGAGCTCGGCGAACATGGCGGCACGGGCCTGGGGGTCGTTGTATTCGGAGACAAGAGCACGGTTCGCTTCGTCGAACGCCTTTCGCTCTTCCGGAGACATCAAGTCATATTGCTCCCGCTCCTCTTTCGAGAGGAAATCAGGCGAGTATTCGGGTGCCGGGGGCAGGTCCTGCGGACGAGGGCGCTTGGGCTCCTCAGGGACGGGCGGATCTTCTGAGACGAGGGAGATGGGCGTCGCGGAGAATTGGCGGACGGGGGTGAAGATAGGCCCTCTCCGGGCCAGGAAGAAGGCCGAGCGGCCCAGCGACCGAGCTACTGAGGCCATTGGGGGAGGGGAAAGTCTGGGGATATTGGGAATGAGAGGCGCAGTGGAGGAAGTTCGGCGGATGTTTTTCATTTCCTTCCATCGCCGCGTGCCACTAAACCGTTTCGGGAAGGCAGTGACTTTCACCGCCGAACAATTGGCTGGAACTACTTACCTCAACTGCAACTTCGTACTTGCCTTTGCATCTTTCCGCGCCAACTCCATCTAGAGTCTGGCATGTTGGGTGCCAGTCTATGAATACTACGGCACTGTCTATATTCCCTAGAGGCTGATATGGTTGGCAAGACTGGCCACGTTTGAGTCTTGTTCCGTGCGGATATCACCCGCCTACTAACTAACCATCATGCCGTCCCCTCTCCAACCAAATGCCACTACAAAGGTCTGCTTCGTGACTGTGGGTGCTACAGCTTCTTTTCATCTTCTTTTACAGTCGGTACTCGCAGACCAGTGTCTGCTGGCATTACAGAAACTAGGGTTTACCCACCTACTTGTGCAATATGGAAAGGACGGCCAGGCTCTTTGGGATGAGTTCCAGAACAGATGCCCTCCTGATAGTGAAAGCCGACATGGACTTGAAATCGCCGGATTCGACTTCAACCAGGCTGGATTAGACGAGGAGATGGGTTTGGCTCGGGCTGATCCGTCTGAGGGTCGAGTCGGGGGACTAATCATCAGCCACGCTGGTAATGCCCATGTCTACAGTATCTCCAATGCCTGATTGAGGTGGCTGACATGGTTTGGGTCCAGGATCGGGAAGTATTCTTGGAGCATTACGGCTTGGTGTGCCACTTGTTGTTGTACCGAACCCAACCCTGAAGGATAATCACCAGGAAGAACTGGCACAGGAACTGCAGAAGCAGGGATATGTTGTCGCCAGCAACTACTGGTACGCTGCTTCTTCAGTCATCAGGATCGGGTGACATAGACGAGCTCACTCCTTTTTCAGGGAAATTTCGAGCGCACTCGCTCGTGCAGAAAAGCTGCGAGCTCAGATGCTGGCTTGGCCGCCTGTGTGTGGAGTAAGCCAGCGGCGCCAGCCAACGCTGGAGAGCGTGATGTCTGACGAACTGGGCTTCTTAGATTGAAGCCCGCCTTTGGGTCTTTATCACTAGCACCGGTCGAATCCACTCTGCCGGGCGCATTGAAAGCGATACATCTGTAAGTTGTTTGGGATGAGACCGCCACTATGTGGTACGATTATAATTATCATGACTATGGAAATCATCATAGCTGGCCGTGAGCCTTGAGCAATGAGGAGCCTTGAGACCCAACAGCCATGGAAGGTAGAACGGACGGTTTTACTCACGACTGGACTCGTCAGTGTCTTGGACAATCCGCTGAATGGTGGCTTAACATCGCTTTAGATATAGCTTATTGGGAATGTATCTGTAGGAGTAGCGAATCCGTTTGGGACGATTGAAGAAATCAAGCATTTTTATGTCTTTATCAGTTGGCCATATGGCGAGCAAAGCATGATGATTGTAATGCATTCTACCCTACTGTGATGGGTTGTAGATACTAGATAGAGTTATAGTTGGGATTTCCGAGAGTTTGGAGCGGTGCTGGTCTGTGCTTTCCATTCCTCGACCCCAAAAACATACGCGCAGAACAACCCGCAGCTATCCTTCCCTCCGGCCTGGTTTGCTCTACTTCGTGACCTCGCAGAAGAGCAATCGAGCTCAAGCACTCTACCGGGAGAAGTCCTGCGACATCGTTCGAATTCCGCGTCCTCGCCGAGCAACCGACCAGGCCGCGGGGCCTCTCCGTGCCTTTGACGACAACAAAACACCCGCGCCCTTCGATCTCTCCTCCCTCTTCCCCGATCCCCAATCCCCAACATTCTCTCCACGCAATGGCAGAAGCCACCCTCCACAACGCTCCGATCGTCATCGACAATGGCAGCGGGACCATCCGCGCCGGCTTTGCCGGTGAGGAGATCCCCTCCTGCTACTTCCCCTCGTTCGTGGGCCGGCCCAAACATCCGCGGGTGATGGCCGGCGGTCTCGAGGGCGACGTCTTTATCGGACAACGAGCTCAAGAACTGCGCGGCTTGCTTAAGATTCGCTACCCTCTGGAACATGGAATCGTAACAGACTGGGATGATATGGAGAAAATCTGGCACTACGTGTACGAGAACGAGCTGAAAACGCTGCCGGAAGAACACCCCGTGCTCCTGACGGAGCCACCGCTCAACCCACGCAAGAACCGCGACGCTGCCGCCCAAATCATGTTCGAGACCTTTAACGTTCCGGCGCTGTACACCTCGATTCAAGCTGTGCTGTCATTGTACGCGTCCGGTCGGACAACGGGTGTGGTTCTCGATTCAGGGGATGGTGTGTCCCATGCGGTACCGGTGTTTGAAGGTTTCGCGATCCCGAACAGTATACGGCGGATTGATGTGGCGGGTCGGGATGTGACGGAGCAGCTGCAACTACTGTTACGAAAGAATGGACATGTGCTGCATACCAGTGCGGAGAAGGAGGTTGTCCGCATGATCAAGGAGAAGGTTTGCTACGTTTCGCTGGATCCGAAGCGAGAGGAGAAGGACTGGATGAATAGCTATCACAAGTCAGAGACGAAGTCCGTCGACTATGCGCTGCCTGATGGGCATAAAATCAAGGTACTTTCTCCCTAAGTTGTGCTGATCGGGTTGAATTGGGTTTCTAATGGCGAACTATGACAGATCGGACAAGAACGCTACCGCGCCCCCGAGATTCTCTTCGATCCGGAACTTATTGGCTTGGAATACCCTGGTGTACATCAGATCGTGCAGGATGCCATTACCCGGACGGATCTCGATTTGCGGAAATCTCTCTACCTCAACATCGTCCTGTCTGGTGGATCAACGCTGTGCAAGAATTTCCCGGACCGGTTGATGCGCGAGATTAAGCGTCTGGCCGTGGAGGATATGAAGATCCGAATCTCAGCCCCCGCGGAACGGAAGTACACGACATGGATCGGAGGTGGTATTCTTGCTGGCTTGAGCACCTTCCGGAAGGTAGGTTTCCACCTCATCACCCTAAATCATGGACCCTTCAGCTAACTCCTTCAACAGATGTGGGTGAGCGCAGACGAATGGCACGAAGACCCCGAGATCATCCACCGAAAGTTCGCTTAAAGGTGCTTGCCTTTTCGGATGAAACCAACATCAGGGACCTGCACGATCGACGTATCCACTTCCGCACCTGCAGCTCGCACACTCCGCGACAGGATACGTTTTACTGCAAAGACTGAACATGCAAGCTACTAGCTAGAAAAGACATCAATGGTGATGCTCACAATGGTCAGCAGCAGCTTTTAATAGATACCCCTCTTTTCTGTTCGCCTCGATTGTTCAAGCTGCCATACCCATCTGCCACTCATACTACGCTTTCACCCCTTCAACTATTAAACTATCTGATGCGAGATACATCTTCCATGAGCGGTGTTTTGTGTCTATTCCCCACATCGGATGAGCTCACTAGCACATCTACCCCTTATCTTATGCTGCTTCCCTTAGCCTCTAACCATACATACCTAGCGACATGTACCCGGATTACGAGGAAAGACATGAATCTAGATGCTATTTTGCTTTTACTTCTTCTATCTTTTTCCTGTCTTACCTCATATCTCTTTATTTCTCGCTGAAATTGCGTGCCACATTCTGAAGTTTTGTGTACATATTGAATGGATAGATGAGAATATACGATGCCCAACAAACCATCTCCGTCGATCAAGTAATCTGGAGCCTGGAAGCTCCGCAATTGACATAAAAGATGCTCAAGAAAGGCCCCATTCACAAAGCCCTATCTGATCGTTACCACCAATAAAAGCAATAACTTCAAGAATGGTGGAAAGTAAAGGAGAAAAGTGAAAGACAAAAATTAATTCTTGATTGACCTACCATCAACCAAAGCTTTAGGGGCCTGTCTTTATCCACTACACTGAGGCCACGCCCCCTCGCACCAAAGAGTCTTCCAGCCATCATCCAAGCAATTACCCCCATAGTTATCATAACATTCTTGAGTGATATACCCCAGATCAAGAAGATCCCTTAAATCATGATTTCGAGTGGTAGCCCACAGATTCACTGCCCCTGTGGGGGTATCCATCGTATCGCAATAGTCTGCCATGTCCTGGGGGCAGAATGGTGCAGATCCTACCCAGGTGCATGCTCCTGAATCAATCTCGTACATGCTGTTATTGCATATTGCTTGTGCAGTGGATATGGCGATGAGGGTTACTGCGAGGGGTTTCTGAGAGAGCATGGTGGTTTTGAGGATGGGTTGTCGGAGGAATTGAGAGAGGTAGAAGGTCTTTCTTCTGGAGGTGGTCAGGAATGAAGTATGGATATGTAGTGAGGTCTGTGCTTCGAGTCCTTCGTGGATATGGGAGAGGAGGGGAGAATATAGTATCAAGGGGTAATGTATGAGGAGATGGAGATAATTGGTAAGAGTTGAACGGATGCTGGATGTGGATTTCTGAGGATGATTGTCAATACCCTGCATACATACCTCGTCTTATTGGAATGGGGGCTGGGAGAATAGTTTGTTGTAGTGTATACTAAGTGTATAATGCAGCCTGAAAGCCGGAGGACTATTGCGTGGTGCAATATGTCACAACAAAATAAATGTTACTAGTAGCTTCCGCGAGGATGGCTTGTCAGAATGTGTCATAGACTTACAATGTCACATTAGAGGTCCGGTCTTGGCCCTCAGTCTATGGCTTCTGGGTACTGGTATGTGATATGACGTACCGAAGAGGATTTCGGGCTATTTGGAAGAATGCCATTTGATGCTCTCTGCGCCTGTACCGTAGCTTCCCTTCTCGAATGACAGTGACACTAAAGTCTCCAAGTGCCATAGATGCCATATTGGTATAGAGAAGTAGACATTTCAGCTTCTTTTGTTTCACCAAGTCCCTACATTGGTTCAAATTGCGCACAGGGGTATAGCGCGATATAATTGAATGCTGAGAGCGGTAACTACATGAATAGTGAGTTATAACATGCCACATGAGCTCTGCGTCCTGTCGAATAGATCTGCTCTGATTACCGTTTTCCCAGCGAAATAGTCACTTCTTGGCCAGAGTTACCATATTGAGGAGGGCACAGAAACTCCCCCTATAGCTCGCATGGAACGGGTGTGGTCTCAAGGAATGTTTCTGTACCACATCGCTGGCTGTCCAGTATGCATGGTTGAGTGCCTCGTAACAATATTCCGCGGAATCTCACGCTGTCTTTGGAGCTCTTGCCGAGGGTGCCAGGAAGAACAGGTCTCTCTCTCTCAGCCTTACAATCGCGAGGTAAGAACAACTGGTGACTTGTATTAGGAAAGAGTACAGCTGTCAACCTTTCCTGGAGCATGCTGTTTGTTTAATTGGCATCGTTGCATCGCCTAAGCTTCCAAATAAGATGAAGATGTGAGCGTAACCCCTCAAACAATGGGGAAAGACACACTGACATAGTGATTGATGATCATATCACTCAACGAGGTTGGAATGCGGGAGGTAGCACGTCCAAGTATGCATTCTGAGGGACGCGGATGAATTGTCCGTTGAGGTATTCGGATCTACAAGTAGGTTTGTGATCATTAACCAGCAGAGTGTTTTGGGTCCTAGTGATTGATCAATAGTCGGGGGGTTCCAGTAGTAGCAGGACTGAGGTACTGGGTAAGTAATAAACAAGATCAGCAGCGAGATGGATGGAAACGGGAAAAGTAGTTACCAGTTGAGGAAAGAGCGTTTGATGTCTAAGTTAGAAGCAGCAACAACAACCTCAAGTCACTGAAATCTTCATGTGACAATCCTAGACATGTATGTCTTAAGTCACTCTACCAGATATGCTTATTTATGTATATCCAAGTGCGATCTATTGCCAGTTGATTGTGCCTCAATCCATCCACAATATGAGGAATATTCACGCAGTGCCAAATACCTACTACGTAGTCATCGAGGAAGTGTACAACACATAGTTAGCTAGCCAGCCACATGCATAGTCTCGAACCAAACATCCATGCGCATTTGTTTACCTCTTCCTCCTCCAGGGCATCTGGTGTAAGAAGAAAGTCTAGAACACTTTCAAGTAGTTTTAACCTAAGGTAACCCAACCCAACTCCACTGTCTCAAGGAGTGTAGTAATGTAGGTGGCCAGCGTCATTGTAACCCTTGCATAGAATGATATTGTCAAGAACATTTTATGTTTGTTATCGAAAAAGGCAAGTCGTGTCATTGAATTGTTTGATGATGTCAAGTCACGACATCAAAAACCGGAGATC